GATATTTTGCTAGATTAGCAAAACTTCACCGAATTAAAAAATTCATAAAATATCTCTATAGCAGTCTGCGCACGCGCATATTTGATTTTTAATACATGCGATAGGTTTACCTTTACCAGAAGCATCTGTAGTTACAATTTCAAAAAAAATTTACTATAGTATACATAAAAAAAGTTGGAATTTTGCAGTACGCATGCGCGCATCTGATTTTTTACTATATGAGATGTGTTTGCATTTACTTGAAGCATCTGTGGTTAAAATTTAAGAAAAATAAAATAAGAAAATTAGCATTGTGCAGTTTGCGCATGCACACATTAACCGTCAAGATGTGTCTGGGCTCACATGCCAGAGGTATAAGCTACCGAATTCCAAAAGAACGAATTAAATATACACAATGAAAACTCTAGACAGACAGACAAAATGCGCTAAAAATGGTTATGTAAAATGACTATTCAAAAAGCCGTTGATATGCGCCAAAAAAAAGGGATGACAGTAAATCGTGGTGCACGTTTCATTGATTACTTCCACTTTTAAACCCTCATTTTCTTTTAGTCCCTCAAATAGAAAACTAAGGACAGGACTTTCATGTACTTGTTTTAAATTATCTCAGGACACGATCACCCGCGCATTAGCAAGGGAACTAATGCATTGAGATAAAAAATGCCCCCCCCCCACTTTTTCACTTTTTTTACGGAAATACACGTCTTTAAACACCACAGATCTCTGAATCAAACAAAATCTCGATTATACCAGTCTGTCTGTTAGTCCGTCTGTACCCTTAGTTTGGGCTAAACAGCTGAAAACAAATTTGGTACACATATCCTTAGACATAAAAGGAAGAGCTGAAAAGCTTTTCGGCAGAACGCGCACGTGTGCGGGTGGTACCTATCTGTGCTTTAAAAACTTGCTTGACAATAAATGTATTATTAGTAATAAACACAAACAAATGTAAAAAAGTAGTGCGAAACAACGTGGGGCCCGGCCCGAGGTATTTAAGAGAGAGCATATCATAAAAAAATGATTGACTATCGCGACTTAATTAGAATTATTAATTCGGAATTCGGAACAGAACGATAATAAATAGCGAATCATATACGATAGGTATGAAGCAAGCATTTTCGCACAGAAAAGATATCTGTTTCAAGGGATGATCTATTGAGGTTTAACTGATGTAGCGATCATTTCTCTTCTGAGTTGCGGTTGCGACTACCAGTTTCATAATCTTATATTTGAATGTCACAAAAATTAATTTATATACAGGGTGTTACATTTATCTTGAGACAGTCGATTATTGCAGAGACAACATGGATATCACAAAATGATTTATATAAAACCTTCTTCATATGAAGTGGCCCATTTAATGATGCTATGCGCACGTTCACATAACTGCCCCATAAGGGCAACTTAATTTTTTCAAATGGAAAACTATACCATTTATTAAATATTCTTACTCTACATCGGAAAATAATAAACTTTTGTGGGAAACGTTTTTTCCCGATGTTTATTTTTTAAAAAACTCTGCCAAAGGCGCGGTATGAGTTAGAAAACTGTTCTGTCAAGAATTTGACACATTTTTTTTAATTATATGCACATGAAAAGTAAGGACAAAAAATATATAAAGGCAATCCAAAAGTAAGATCACGTACTTTCTTCCGAAATACAAATAGCCATGTTAAATATTAGGACAGGACACTCTTGTTTTTCATATGGGAAGGTCAAAAAGAACAAAAGATATGGGGACTTCAAATTAATTGAGAAATAGAAAATATAATTGCTAAAACAATATAAATCGATGTATTCGAAGATATATTTCCTATCATACATACCATTCATACCGTGATTCATACTCTTGATCAAGGTTTCAAAAAATTTACGACAAAACCATAGCTAACAAACAATTGCAAATAAGAATGTTAACAAACTCCAATGTCAAGGCGACTTGATAACAAACCATCATTTGCAATTCAGAATCAATGAACTTTATTGAATGCTTATGTAATCCAATCGATAAAACTTCGCAAAATGTTGTATTAGTGTCTTCAAATTTCTTCACTATAGATCAGTGGTTCTCAACCTTTTCCACACTGCTCTCCGTTTAACGACTCTTTTACTTTAAGTTCAAATGAAACTACCCGTCATGTCAAATTTCCCTTAGCTTTACTTTACTTACGTGGAAGTGTAAGTGAAACGTTCATTAATTGCTAGACCAGAAGTACTGCTACTTACGTACTGCGGTTTTTAACATAATGTTTATAGCAGAGCTTTCAGTTGGCTTTAAATTTTCCTGGTAACCTATGGTGGGTGTGGCGCTTCGAAGTGTTAACTAATGGGAATGGCATTTCACTTCTTTCAAATTGTAAAGTAATTTCAGTAGGTGTGTTCTGGTTTAGACATTGCTTTGTAATTTTCCATTTTTCCGTCACTAAGTTGAAGCAATGCGTTTTTGAGTTGAGTATTTCCCCCTATGAATTATAATTTATTTAAATCTATATAAATAAAAATGAATGTTTGTCTCTTATGCCTGCCTAAACCGTTTATACTATTGCGATGAAACTTTGGGTAATGGCCCGCCGAAGTTTCTATATAAATAAATCGGTATGAAGTTCGGTGAGTCTGTGAGGTGAGCAGCCGAAACCGAGCGTATGTCCCATCCACGAAAACGACTTTTCCCAAAGGCAGTACCAAGTTCGCCTGGGCTGCTAGTAGCCTAGTACGTACATGATAAAAACGTCTATAATAGTTGTTTTGTGTTTTTTTGTTAAATAAATAAGAATAACAATACGTAATTGCGAGAGTAATAGTTTTTAATTTTTCCCTTATATTTCACGACCTCCTCGAGGTCGTGACCCACTGGCTGAGGATCCCTGCTATAGACAGTTACAAACATGGTAGGTATCAGGTATATACCATTTCACCAAATACGTTCGAAAATTATATCAGAGTGACGACTTGTGCTCCTTAATGGTGCATCAACTAGTTGCACAATTTATACACTGTTGCAATTCGATGGTAAATCAGCACATAACCTACAAATTTGTAAAATATTGCAGCGCCACTATCCAATCAGTTACAAACAACAATAAATGTGGACAACTTTGGCGCAGATAAAGCGTGGGGTCGCTTGAGTGACGCCGAAATTATGTGTCATCCATATGTCCTATTTTCCTTTGTGAGTACCTTCTCTGAGACTCTGCTCTCGGGGTATTGGCACTTAAAATTTTGACCCAGAAATTTGGAGGCCGTCTGGCATAACTATTGCACACACACACTCAACCTCGCACTCAAATTTTCTAACCAGAAAATCTTCCCGATAATTATTTGTTACCACCTGTTATGAAAAGCCTAATCAAAAAGTGACCATCCAAAAGTAACTGACAGCGCAAATTCTGAACCTTTTTGGTAGATGCATGTACCATTTTGTGTTTCGATGCGAAGAACTCCTCTGTCGAAAAATGACAGACAGAAGAGATTCCGGACATGCATACAAGCAGAGTACGTATCTTTGCGCACCACTTACATTAAGCTAAAGATCAGTTCTTTGAGTCATCCTTCCTTATGCAACTTGCAAAATAGAAGGTGCTAGAAACTATTACATCTCAAAAGCATGAGACATAATTTTTTAAATTAAGATGAGTGCTAATAACCAAATGAATAGTGCTCACACATCGGCGCAATTAATCAAGTTAATAAATGCCAATTACTCAATAAGGATACACAGTTCCGAAAGACATTAAAATCAGCAACATATGTAGATAACGGTGCACTCAAAAGGCCCAATTATACAAACAAATCCAAAAGTTAAAGGTCACGAACATAAAAAAACAAAACACAAACTTACAATGATAACAGAAGCCTGACGTAAGTTTCGATTCTCCTCTTGCAAAGTCTTAACTCGTAACTTGTACGTTTCCAATTCCACCTTCAGCACCCTGTTCTGCTGTTGCAAACTTTCTATGCGCTTTTGCAGTTGTTCTCTGGTAACGGGGCTAGGAGGCATCATAATAGGGCCTCCGTCGATGCTACTTGAATCGGACTCGCTAGCAGAATCTGCCATCTCTCTAAAAATTGAGTTCAGATTAACGTTCTTCAGAAATAAATTACTCCAACTGCACTGCAACCTTTCTTTTATGGGGTCATTCTCTGATAAAATTGTTAAGATGACGTTAAGGAAATGTTGGAAAATTTAGTAAATAGTAAACTTACCCGCGCTTTAAATGATTAAAATAATAAAACTATAAAAGAAAACTATAATTGTAGAAGTACAACACAACATGAAGATATCAAAAAGACAGCAGCGGCCATAATATGAAGCAAAAGACGAACGACTGCAGTAAACAGCTTTCAATAAACATAAATAACCCTACGGTTACGGTTTACGTAAACGTAACGGGGTGAACAAACCACAATTTTACGTTGCGTACAGTTAAAGGATGATTTACACATTACACTAGAGCCAAACCAAACCACATGTATGAGAAAAACAGGTTTTCTCTGGGAAAACTTGAAACATGATCAATATTGAACATTGAACTTCTCAATTTTCCAATAAGGGGTGGGGTGTAAAGTAAACCGTCCCGTATTCAGCGGGACGATCCTGTAATGGCAAATACAATCTCGCATTCTAAAAATTGATAAATATGTCCCGCAATTAAACCAAAATGCGCCACGCGAATCCCGCAAACGAGCGTAGTGAAGCAAAGCCTTCTTCCACTAACGCGTATTTTAGCTTGACTCACTCTCATATTCCATCCCATTGGCATGACAATATGGTTCTAGAATTAGTAGGAAAACAATTTAAACTTCCCGCGCTTTTTGAGTAACAGTGACACATCAGAATACTTATGTCCCATAAACAAGTTGTGAACCAACGTATGCAAGTCAAAATTCTTTTTAAAAAAACACCAATTATATGTGTATTACCTATATACGGTAACAACTACACCATTTGAGCTGCTTGAGCCAAACAAGAAGATATGAAGATTAAATCCAACATAACCTTACTTTTTTGACATTTTTTATTTCAGGGATACCAATACATTCCCAACAATAACTAAACTTAACTTACTAAATCTTAAACAGAAATATAACTAAATGAGTGATTTAACCGGGTAAAGAAGTAATACAGCTAACGTAGTTTTCGTTTAATTACTAATAGATATATACAGCCTATGAAATATATAATACAAAAAGTTATCATTTAAACTTGTCATAAAAACCCTAAAAGTACAATTAAAATAAATACATGAGATACCTTATATCATTGTTTAGGCATGAATAAACAATGCTTATATGCTGTTTTAGGGGTTTAATAGTGGGAAATAATTAAATTACTTATTATTATTCATCATATTTGTTGAAGCTGTATAATATAAACGTTCAGTACTACACAATTATTGTATCGCTAACAAAAGTGATCGGTATCATTACACGTTCTCTAGATCTACGCTATGTACAGATTAAATTAGCTATTATACAGTATAGAAACTCAAGCTTTGTGTAAATGAAAAAAATTACTAATAAATATTTTCGTATTAACTAACGGAAAACGTTTATTTAGTCATCAGACGATTTAAATCTTTTTGTATCAATTGTGGAAAGGCTTTTGTGTCTATTTATTCGTTTTGCTTTTAAATAAGACAGAGTCTCTCGACTACTACTACTGCTACCTGTTTCGCTCATATCAGGCTTTAAAAATTGGTCAGATATTGCTTCTTCGATGAAGCCATCTCTACCTTTATTGGCAACAGGCTCTTGTTGTTCCTCTTTACGTTTGGAATTGTTTAAATTGATGCGTATTGGATTGGTAATTGGTGTCGTTACTGCTGCTGGTGATTCATCTTCTATCTGTTGCTCTGCGTGGGTTTCAGTACTGTCATTATGAGAATCACTCACTTCGCTACTGTCTTCCGGCAAATAATCCTCCTCTTCCAATTCCTCTTCAAGTTCGTCATTCATGAACTCCTCATCTTCTTCATCTCTTTGCACAAGTTTACCTAAACAGAAACATAATTGCAATTAATAGATCCAAAAGTCAAAGGGTGTAGAGATTTACCATCAAGTGTTGGAAATGATATCACTGGTAGAATATCCAAATCTTTATCATATTTCAACATAAGATCTTTTATTAATAACGAAATGTCTTCTCTTTTTTTTGTTACAACAAACTCATCAAACCAATGTGTTACTTCTTTAATTGGCACATGATAGTCCTTTATTGGGGTCTAAAAAAAATTTAACTTATCATTCCACTTAATGCCTTAAATAACCAATTTTTATTTTAATCTAAATGAGATCTTTTAGCCAACATTGTGCCTGCAATAGGTCAGTAACAATTTCTTTCACTTACAAAAGCATAAAAATACGAAACAATATCCTGTTAATTTCAGTGTCTCTCACTTTGCAAAAAATTAACAGGCATTATGGAAAGCTGATGAGAAATGCTTTGGTATCTCTTAAAACAGTGTCAGTTGACAACTCAATTATTAAAAAAGTGCAGTTCTGTAATGGATTACAAGTTAAATACAATCAATGCTGTGCTTGATTTACCATACTTCAAAATTATTCAATACCTGACATGAAAAACGAAAGTATGCTGTGCATATTTAAGTTACAAACCATACATTGGTTCTACACACTGATGATACTGTATAGGTATGCATTCATGATGTTACCACAAAAGTGTAACTAAGTTGCAAACCACAGGCCTGAGATTATAACTTGGACTACTGGTACACAGATGGCGCTGTTAAAAATTATTAAAAAAATATATAGAGTGGCCTGTTGAAGCTCAGGCAGAAGTAAAGAGATAATCAAAGCACACAAACACAGTGTGGACTGTTGTTATCGCATCATACACTAAATTGAAGCCGATTACATTTTCACTTAAAATTGTTTATTTTCACTTGACATTCCACCATTGATTCAGAAAATATTTTCCAGCTCTGTTTACATACAAATGTCACAAATAGATTTCAAAAAGTAATATACATTTATGCATTCATATTGTAGTCAATTTGTCAACCTTGTATACTGTATAAAAATGAAAATATGTTTCATCAATTGTTTCACAGAACTCCGAAGCATTGTTATACACAAATATCACTGTGGTAAAATATTTACATGATTCCATTGTTTTTCTTTTCTACAAGGTGTGGTTTACTTACAATGCTTCATCAGGCCAAACTTAAAAACAACCACACACATATTGACCTTATTATAGGTTGATCCATCTCAACTTTTTTATACTTGACAACTGGAAGTTGAACTAGAATGAAACATCGAGTGAAGAACAGAACAAATTGTACATGTCATTTTTTAACATGAAAAAAAAATTACTCAAGCAAAACATCAGCATTTTGATGGTATAAAACTAGGCGACCTAAGGTCTATGCTTAGCTTATGGAAACTCGGAATCTAACCGACTGCTGAAATTCTCGGAATTCAGGCGGTCCGTCTGAGGGTTTAAGATCTCAGCACTTGAACCTTGTAGAAGGCTGCGGTTTTTTTTATGTAATAAGTGGCGATACATATGGTGGATAACTAAGACAAAATTTTGTTGAACAATGTTTGCACTTTTCAAGTTTGTTATTTAAGATAGTTCAAAAAACTTGTAACTGCAGATATTTGTAATATTAGTAAATCTAGCAGTAGGTTTAAAAAGTAGATGGCTAAAAATTGGGCTTATGCATGCGCAACACCCTATATATCTTAACGTCAATTATTTGCATTCGTTTTCCTGATTACATTGATGTATCACAACCTAAAATCTCCATGAATCCATGGCCTACTATTTAAAAACAGTACACAAATAGGTTTTAATTTTTGGTTCTTGGCTAACATTAAAAAAAATATAGGTTATGATATATCAATGTAATTAAGACAAAGAATGCAAAAAATGACGAAATGACAAGATATGCAGGGTGTTCAAAAATTTTACTACAGCACTGGATTCTGTGTAAAAATATCTAGAATGCCAGCAAATATAAAATCAGCATACATTATAGGTACCAGTTATAAGATTTTCATTGAAAAATGGTATCTTTATCCTGAGCCAAACGTCTTAAATATTTAAAAGTTTGGCCATTATTTGGAAACACCTTGTATATGCTAAGTTGCAGTAAAAAAATGAATTTATACATTCAGCAAACACAGCACAAATGATGCTTTTAAGAAGTAACTATGCAGATATCAGTTGCACTATCATAATGGAAGCAAGTTAATACATTTCTAGTTCACATTTCTTTTTATTCAATTTTCAGATTACATTTTGAGACCAAAACCATCATTACGTGATTCAAAAAAGGAATAATACTAGAATTGTGCCTACATTGTCATTTAAGTAACAAACCACAAATCAGAATCTACAATTTGGATTAATGGTTCATAGATGGCGTTGTACGTTGTAATTTAAAAATATACAGGACGTGATAAATTAACTGCGTACGAAATCGTACGTTTACAACTATCCTAGTAAGATTAAGATTGTACATGAATTTGTATAAAATTTCAAAAATATTCCCGCGAAATTACATTTGATTCATTTGGTCACGTTGCAAACCACATAAATGAACTTACTAATTGGGCTAGTGGTGCATAGATGGCGTTATAAAAAAATGTAAAAAAATATATATGTCACCGGCAAACTGAGAAATCCGACATTTTGCAAAATGCCTAGGCATTTCGCGAAATGACGAATGCAACAGGCAAAGTGAGAAACGGAGCTGCAGTTCGCACTTTGCCTGCCTCTCTTTATAGTCCAGTCAAATTCAAATTAGCGCAATTTTGGACAAATAAAAACATTAATTGGTAAAGAGCTGAATTTTGGTATACACATTTATTGGGACTTTCTATTGAACATATTAAAAGTCCCTGTCAAAATCTGTTGCGCTCGAGACGCCATCTTGGAAAAACGGTACACTTTTCCAGTTTTTTGCCCATGTCTCGGCAATTATTACTGACACGAAGAAATAGTTTACATGAAAAATATAGTTTACTAAATTCCCTATAAAAAAGAGTATTTACATTTTTTTTGTATCTCCAGTACTTTAGCTGTAATTTCACGTTGAATACGTCAGAACGCGTTTAGGCCCCGTATCGTAATATTATAGGAGGCCGTCTTTTTTATGACTACATCGATAGCTGTAATAGAGCCAAAAAATGAACAGAATCGTCGTGCGATAAAGCATTCTACCAATGACATAATGTTTGATGATACATCATGTTTTTTTCAAAAAGGTAAGCGAAAATGTGTAAAAGTGTTGGAGCAACGAAATGATTTCTGAAGCTGAAGAACGCCCTTATCTGCATAAGTATAACGTGCCTGCTAGTGAGAGATATTAAAACCGACATCGTTATCAGACCTTCAGAATGACCTTGACCCTGTTCGGACACTCAGTGCTCACATTGAAGATGAAAGTTCTATTGAGAGAGAGTTTTATGAGAAACCTTACTAAACGTGTCTCATACCAAGCTTGAGTGCGACGACTTCGCATATATAAGAAATACTGGTAGAATTTTCAATGAATTTTTAATGATTTGTAAAAAGTTGTAAAAAAATATCTGCGCGACTGTTTCGAGAGCTCAGGATACTTGATTCCCTATTCGATGTCGGATTATAGCTAAAGTATTGGGCATACAGAAAAATGTTAATATGCTTTTTTATGGGCAATTTAATAAACTATATTTTTTATCTGAACTATTTTTCCGTATCAATAATTGTTGCCGATATATAGGCAAGAAACTGAAAAAGTGCTCCTTTTTTCCAGGATGGCGCCTCGAGCGCAACAGATTTTGACGAGGACTTTTAGTATGTCCAATGGGGAACACTAATGAACATGTGTACCAAAATTTCAGATCTTTACCGATTAATGTTTTTATTTTTTCTTATTTGACTGGACTATTAATAAAAGTCTTAAAAAGAACCGTGTTTGTGAAAGTCACAACAATTCGGACAGCGCCTTTGACATCAAAATCATCTATTTTTGTCTCCACTTGTTTTGAAATAGAAATTTCCGATCACTGGTGAAGGGCGAAATCTTTTCTTTAATCTGTTTAAAGTTCCAAGGTGTAACGGATGGTCGCTTTAGAATTAAAAAAGTAATTTTTTTATATTTTGGTAAGCATTTAGCAAAATTTCCACATGCACTGCTTCATAGTGGGCTTGAACAAAGATGTGTCTGGCGTTTACGAGTCATATCAAGAAACGTATTACGGCAAGCGACTGCAGTTGCCACGATCTCTTTGGAAATAACGGTTTCGTTCCGTTTTGTGAAAAGGCGAGCACGTGGCATAAAATCGGAATTCCTATTCGTTTAAATGGACTACGCGATTGTTTTGTTCAAAAGTAGAGAGAGAAAAATATATATCATAATTTTGATTTTTCCTAATGGAATCCAAGCAAAGAATTTGGATTATTTTATTTCACTGAGTGAGGTTTGCATTTAATTTTAGCAATACCATTCCATTTTTAGTATTATGGCTAAATTATTGCATCGTATCCATGCTAGCCAAATGCCAAAACTAAGGCAAACCATCCATTAAAATCACCCAAACTATCTAAATGAGCGCGTTATTGCAATTTTTATAATAAAAATTACAAATTGGAAATGTATCGTATTCATAATGGAAATGTCAAAACGTAAGAGCTGTTGATATGATTCATAGATATACAGTGATATTTATTTAAAAAAATAGGCATAGGGATGTATGCGTATTGCTTTTTCCCTATGTCTACTTTTAAATGACAAAATCTCTTCTGCAGAGCGACTAATTTCATGAAACCAAGGTAACTTCTTAAACTTTGGCTTTCGTATTTTTATTTTCGTGTGTGATGTATTCAACTGAACAAAAAGTTGATTTTGTCAATAGTACCTATAGTATAGTACCGATAAGAGTTTAAGGAGCGTAAGAAGTTTATTTTCTGTGAAGCTAAAGCAACAATATTCAAATTAATTAATATAACATCCAGATCTTTATTAAGTTTTAAAAAGGTATTTTAGCCGCATAAAATTAGGCGCCCGTCACCAGATATGTTGTCATTTAAAAGTAGGTACATAGTGAAAAATAATACACGTAAATCCTATGTCTATACTTTTTAATGAATATCACTGTATGGTCAATGTATTGGTATTGTGAAGTGTGAAGACATGTTTGCTATATTGTATAACTGATGTGTGTTTGTTTTCAACATCTTCTGGTTTATGATATTAGCCTCTATTCAACAAAACCTTTCGGGTTAAGAAAAACACGAAAGAAAAGTGTGACACCGGGCAACGAATACAAACAGCATTAATTAATCAAATACTATCCATTTCTTAGGAGACCGTTACTTTTTGTTAAAATCGAATAAAAAAACTCTTCATTTGGTATCTCCCACGAAATTAGATAATTACTACCCTTGACTTAATTATGGGGTACCTACTCAAACATTTTTATTTATTCATCCAAGAGATGTAACATCAAATCTATTTAATTATAGTCATTTTAACAGCAGCAGGTGAGAGAAGTGGTCGTTTGTTGTTTTCCAGAAATGGTATGTATCAATTTTAATACTATCGGCACCTTTGATCTTTGTTTGTAGCTTTTGTTCCAATTACGCGATTTTTCTTGCAATCTTGTTTCTATACCACATGGAAACGGCAATAATCTAAGTGTCGCTTTCGGGTGCTAACTAATCTCTTTGTTTTATATCGGTGTCACGTACAAGTTTTAAAGTTTTAAATGGTACTTACATCATTCCCTGAACTTGGGGATGCATTTTTACGATTCACTTAGTTGTTTTATTCCCAAAGTTTTGGTTACCTACAGATTGGCCATCTTTCAAAAACGCAAATAAACAGCTGAACAATAAAATACAAATAAGACCCTATTTATACTAATTACAACAGAAAGTGAAAGTTTCCGAGCTCTGATTTGCCTTCATCATTATTCATTAGGAAGCGTTTGTTTTTACCATTCTCTAAACTTTCATAACAATCTAATTAATGTTTACTATTTACTTGCTTAACTAGGCAAATATCGTCAACTATATACCTATAACTATTTTCAAGTATACAGGGTGACAATTTGAAAACTTACCACCCCCCATATCTTAGTAAATAAACGAGATATTTAAAAAAATCAAAATCCGTTTCGGTAATTCGGTGGGGGAATCACAATGACATAGTTGGCGACGCACCCCCTCCAACCCCCTGCGCCCCAGCCACCCCAACTTTTAAATCTTAAATAGTGACCCCCCATGTGTGATACGTCGTTGGAAAGCTCTGAAAAATGCTTTCCAACCATACCAAATAGCATTACATTTAGGTTAGTAATTATCGTGCAAATCAAAAAATAAACTAATATGATACATTTGAAATCTGTCGTATTTAAAACGCAACCGGCGAACATAAACGAACTAAGACAGAGAATAATTCAAGAATGTCGAAATATTGCAAAACCAACATTTGAAAAGGTTCGACAAGACAAGAGACAAAAATGAGTTGCTGTCGAGTCGCCCTTTGAAATTTTTGTTTACATGGAAAATCGTATTTAACTTGAACTTAGTCTTTTCAAACTACCCTTATTTTTCCAAAAAAAAACTTAACGCAACAAACGCCCAACCAACGCAATCTTCACCCCGAAAATTTAACGCTCCCTTTTTTTAAATCTAATTTAATTTTAATCTAACTAATATTAATTTTCTCTCCGAATGGTTCTCTCTGCTAATTACCGAGTTAATATTCTACGCCCAAAAATGGAATATTTTTAACATGAGGGTACCTAATTTTTATTGGTTAGTGACTTTTCCTCAACCAATCCCGAGCTAGAATTAAAGTTGTCATTTTAAGAAAACTGATGCAATATTTCCACAGCCTGATTTTTTCGTTATGCTTATCTCACTGGTTAAACCCTCATTAAAAGGGCTGTAATAGAATCCCGCCCGTCTGGAAATTGAAAATGAAAGTGTGGCAACTACGCACAATACATTGACTCCAATCGTACAGATTATAACTTGAAGACTAACACGAGCTATATTTGTCTGGGAGATTGTTCTAGAACCTTGACATTTTTACACCGATAACCACTTTTATTTCCCCGTACTTCTGCGGGAAAAAATTATAATCCAAATCAAACGCTCTCGTTACAATCGGTATGGAAGATAAAGACAAAAAATCACAGATTTTGAAATCCATGCAACCATTGGAGACATCGGAAATGATATCCGTATAACTCCATATGTAAAACACAAATAATTCTTATTCAAGCGGATCACGTCACCTTTCCGGATAATAAGCGTCGTAACATGCTCGTAATACTATCAAAGGAGATGTGCGAGAATTTTAAATTGGATTTAACAAAACAAATGGACTAAGTAAGGACCGTATCGACAGTATCCGCGACTTTTCCACCTACCAATCACGGTCGAGTACGGTACAATCGTCACTTGATCCGACACCGTTGTCTTTTCTGCTTGAACAAAACTCGTAACTCTATACCCATATACCTACGGAACCATAAACAATTCCAATGTTAAAACCGTGTTCTTTTACGAACTAAGCATCGAGAATAACCTTCTATATTTTGTTTTAGGCAGCCAAGACACTAAACTCGGATGCCTTCAAAACCCAGCAAGCCATGATGACAGCGACAGGAGCGTGGCCCGATCATAGCAGCATAACTTACAACATAAAAGCTTTATTCTTCCACGCATTCACGATCGGTTTGTTTGTCACAATGTCCATGCAAGTAATTTTTAACTTGAACGATTTTACTAACCTCTCAGAAATTCTTTATATCATGGTAACCGTAACAGGATACGTGGTTAAGCAATGTGCGCTTACTTATAAAAGAAACGTGTTTGTAAATTTAATCCAATTTCTCAAAGATCCCTTGTTTCTCTCTTATCCGGATGAACTAGATCACTATATGTTCGAGACAGTGAAGAAATCAACACTAATCGCAAACGTGTATCGGTTTTCCATTGCTTTTTGCATTGTGCTATTTACGGTCTATCCGATACTTGAAAACAAACCTCTACCCTTTCCATTCCCCTATGACTTGGGAAACTATAGGTACTTCATGTACGCTTTTCAAATAATAAGCGTTGGAGTCTGCGCGTGGAATAATTGCACCATTGACACACTAACAACAAGTTTAATGGGTATTGCCGCTGCTCAACTCGATATTTTATACGAAAAGCTTATTGTAATTCGCAAAGAATCACAAGAAAATGATGACGTACCGTATTGTGAAAAAAGTGAAGAAGATATACTGCATAAGTTACGCCAATGTGTTGAACATCATAATGCAATAATACAGTTAGTGAACATTCAATAATGCTAATTCATGTGGATAAAGTCTATCTTCTTACAGCCTGGTTGAATCTATCGAAGATATTTTTACTGTGGGACTCTTGGCTCAATTTACATGCAGCATTATTGTTATCTGTAATACTGTATTTTACATTATTTTGGTAAGAAATCTTACTTCTAGTTTTGAGTTTATGCAAGTATCTTTGAAAACTACCTGTTTCGACCCCCGTTTTACAAAGCCGGGTTAACAATCATTTGAAATATGAATCCAAATCAATCTATTAAGTTTTTTTGTCTGGAAGGAACGCGTATTGTCAGTGGATCAGATTGAGATAGCTAGAAAGCTTACATGCCTTTCACTGGCCATAAAAAACTCAAAAACGAGCTCAATTTTTTATCTGGCTCTTTGTTTATTTTTAAAAAAATTACTCTTGTGCGGAACAAACAATTGAAATTATTAATTTATAAATTAATTAAATTTATAAATAATTATTAATTAGGATTCACCCTAGCTTTACAACAACCACATTTATCATTTTTTGATATAAAAAATATAGCCATTGTATGTTTTCAAAGTCCCGCATTGTATATTACAGTTTTGCCCCGAAAGGTAAAAACTATTATTTCAGGTCTTGGCCGCTATATGAGATTACCCTTCCAATTTGCCCTCTAACTGTCGCGAATTCCTACCCTACAGTACCATTCGGTTGTCTCCGCCCCTGATCACCATGCGCTCCGTGTTGGCGCGCGTCTGCCGTTCCTTCTCCCGGGGAAGTCGTCAAGAGCTTACGGGGATCAAACCTAGGCAAGATATGAAATAATCGTTTTTACCCTTCGGAGGAAAGTTGTTAATATTTCATGTCTGTGCCGTCGACTTGACCCCTACACCGTACACGAGAAGTGTTTGGAATCTTACGACTCGGGGATGCGTACTTCGACACTTGTAAGAGGTAATAGCTTAAAGGGTAGTGAAACCCTTCTATTCTATTTATTTCATTTCCATAAGACTAATTGCTTTAAGGGCACATAACAAAACGGGCTCACCCTCAGAGGGGACTTCACTATAGTGATGTTTGAAAAAGTGTTCCTTTCCGCTCCAGTTCCCGTTGGCCAGGAACGGGTTCAAAGGAATGTCGCTGTCATAGGGTGAGGACGCTACCGCTGAACTTATGCTTTGCGGAGGGCTGCTACCAACACCGTCCGCCCTGCTATGACGGACCTCGGCGCAGCCTGCCGCCTTGTGGTGATGAATAGGTGGTTCAATTCTTTTGTGACTGCTCCCCTAGTGGTTGTCCCTTATAACATTTGGTTAAGCCAGTAAATTGGACATAAGGCATGTTCTGAGCAATAAGAAGGTTTCCGATTGTCTATGCGAACCGTTATCCTTCTAGCATCTAACCGCGGCCATAACGAAACTGGTTTCCGCAACAGCATTAAATCGTGAATCCTGTGTCCTGATACCAAGAGAGCTGCCAGTGCCGACCGGCGAGAAACTTGGAAAATGCTACTTACATCGCCAGCTCTCATCATCCAAGCAACCAATCTATCCACGTCCCACTCTGCGTATGCCCAAGAGACTCAGGATTTCCAAGATCCTGCATACGTTCTGAGCGCTCTCCAATAAGATTAATTGGTCTTGTTCCCAGTCTACTGTGCAACTGAGACCACCCCGTACCTTGCATGCCTTCACACGATGGTTTTGTCAGTTCCAGGTCTTGCAATTGATCACCTTCGCCCAGTTTCTTCCGCTCTGGTAATTCGATCGTGTCAACTGGTCGAAGTAGTATTCTATTCGTCTGCTCCGGGCTGCGGAAATTTTGCCTCCGCCGCGTTGTTCCGAAGACAATTTGTGTCCTGGTTTGCCAGTATAAAGTCGTACTGGTAGGTATACAAGTACTCGCGTCCCGTGGGATAGTTTCACAAAAGCAAGCGGATCGCTTGATAGGCTAAAGGGCAGGTACGTCATCTGTAGCACTCTTACTCTTGTTCACTAACATGAAAACCGGTGGTGTTGTGGTGTTATGTGGATGTAGAGGTAAGCTTGTATCAGGATTTGCCTTCATGTCCCCTCCAGTACTTTCAAATCATTTATCAATCGAAACTTCTTCTGCTGCAGGTACATGTTCAAACCTTTTAGGTTGTAAATAGGCCTGATGCTTCTGTCTAACATTTTCGAGACAAATCTCCTGGCAGCGGTAGATTCTTTCAAAATTCCTTGATCGTCCATCTCACTCTCCATTTCCGACGTCGGGAGCCGGCTGGTTGTGATGGTCGACAACGGAACTAAGGGTGGTTTCATGACAAAAGGTATCGAATATCGATATCCCTTTACGATGTTTAGTATAGCTCTGGGGGCCCCGAAATTTTCCCATGTAAAGCCTTTTAGGCAATCCCCTCGGAAACACGGATAGTCATTGGTTCTTGACTTTTTCATTGGGGGCAGTCCTCCTTCCAGACCCCGCCCCTTTTCTCTCCCATGTTTTAGTTTAAGGGAGCCTTTTGCCGGTGACTTCCAAGTACTTCTAGCCGGCATCTAAAGGCCGAGTATGCGCTCAAAAGCTATTTATGAAGCTTCGACCTCAGCTCAGGAAATATTTTTCTGCTGTCCCTCAGAGTTGGACTGGGTCACTGGGTCAACTGGGTCCCCTGGGTCACTAAACTAAACTGGGTCACTGGGTCGCTGGGTCACGTCATACTCTTTTCAGTTAGACCCAGTGACCCAGTTTGACCCAGTGACCCAACTTGACCCAGTTTGACCCAGTGACCCAGTTTGACCCAGCGACCCAATTTCACCCGGAGACCCAATTCGACCCAGTAACCTAGTTTGATCGAATAACGCAGTTAAGTCAGTGCCCTCGGTTCAAGTGTACAGATTATGAAATAAATGAAATGCTGGTTTGTTGAAAATAATACTCGATAGCTTGACAACTGCCGGTTCTGTGATGTTTGCTTTAATACTGCCGTAAAAAACTTTCCATGTCCCGAATTGTATTAGAATAATGTTATTTCTAAACAGTTCCCTCCTTCATTTCCCTGATTCAGGGCTTACCAGTTTGCTTACAGGTATTCATTCACATTTAATTTTTTTCTACTAGTTAGCTTAATCCAAATAAATCTTTTCTCTAAATACTTTCATTGTCTACTTGACTACAAACTATAAACAAATGCATTTGATTTTTTTAGGTATTAGTTCTCTTGAATGAAATTGGGCTACGTGCTTGTTGGCGAATATTATTGAGGAAGTTTTTTTTTAAATTGAAAGTTACTTGAAATTGTTTTGGATGATACCTAACAATAATTTAATTACTGGGCCACCGGGTCAAGACGGGTCACTGAGTAAAGCTGGGTCAAGATGGGTCACTGGGTCAAGCTGGGTCACCGGGTCAAGCTGGGCTACAGGGTCAAACTGGGTCACCGGGTCACGCTGGGTCACCGGGTCAAGCTCGGTCACCGGGTCAAACTGGGTCAAGCTGGGTCACCGGGTCAAACTGGGCCACCGGGTCAACTGGGTCACCGGGTCAAGCTGGACCACCGGGTCAACTGGGTCACCGGGTCACTGGGTCAGTAAACTAACCGGGTCACTGGGTCACTCTATGCTTGACCCAGTCCAACTTTGCTGTCCCTGTTACCGCTTTAGCGACGGCGTCTCTTTGTAGGAGAAAGTCACGCAGGATCGATCCGAATTTCGTGTCCACCCAAATCATCTGATCTTGTAAAGGTCCAGGAGGACAAATTGCTGGTTTCTGAGTAACGCACAAAACACTGCCTGGAGCTTCGTCTGAACAACCCCATCTCTTATTTTTAAGGATGACGGCCGTCCCAGTCTTAAACATTGCCCTCCATGTTCGACAATGTGGGCTTTCGGAGCCGCAATCAATGGTTTTTTCTCCTTCGTGTGGGACAAAGAACTTAACTATAGCTTGACTTGGTGGAACCCAAGAAACCTCCAACGCTCCTGTCTTCTGATACCCTGATCTAATCGGCAGATGTCAGAAGTCGCGACAGATGAATGGTAAATTGATTGCAAGGGTCATGTAGGGGCCAAGAGTACAGCACAGATATGAAATACTTAGTTTTCATGTTAACACATCTTCATATTGCAGATGTGGACAATAAATTCCCAATTTGTCATGTTATTAGATTACTTGATAATATTGATGCTGCAGCTATTTATGTATTGTTGGTATGGAAATGAAATAATCTTGAAGGTCAGTTTAATGGAATGCTCTATGCTATATATACATTTTGAAATGTTTTAAGAGCGTTAAAATAGGCGAAGCATGCTACAAATTCAATTGGTGTGACAGTGGAACTCCTGTAAGACAAACTCTATTCATAATAATGGAAAGATCCAAAAGACCCTTAACTATTACCACAGTTAAGCTTTCAACATTGTCTTTAAGTGCATATAAGTCCGTGAGTATGTGCGCAATTCTGTAGGAAAACTCACCTATTCTTTTGTAGATACTACAATGGTCCTACTCTTGTTTGGCCTTATTGCTGAAAATGGAGCAACAACGAAAGAATTGAACCGAATAAGCACTGTTGCACTGAACTTAGCCAATCTCCTTAGAGTACCTCACTTATAAGCCTGCTTTTGGAAAATTCGAACAGTACCTAACGAAAGATATCGACTTTCGCGAAGGGCGAATCAAACATTAAAGCACCACGATTATTGCATACCTTCCTCACTATGACGTATTATCTCCGCATCATTTCTTATTCAATCTATAACACATGCTCCAGTTAAGTATGGCACACTAATCTAGAATGTAAGCGTAAGTATGTTGTATTTGTAACAATCCAAAGATAATGTTGCATACTATATTAAAGAGTAAGGGTGATCTTTGCTATTATTTAACCAAGCGGTATGAAGGACCCGATAATCTGCAAATCAATGTGGTACATTATGCAAAGCAGTTGTTCAAGTATTCCTTTTATCATAATGTACTTGGATAAATACGTACAGTATAATCACTTCGTTTATGTTTTCGAGCAAGATAAGCCACGCGTCACGTTGGAATTAATATAGATCGTTTACGTAGGTCGCACTGACGCACCATTTGGGATTAAAAATGATGACCGCGTAATTTTTCTTTGAGTTTAAAAAATAAAAACATTTTCCACGGGGATAAGTCGGGATTATAACGGGAGGATTTATACATGTTCCGCTTTATAGCGAACAGGAACAAAATTACGTCAGGAAATAAAAACCATAACAGCGTGTGCCTTTTCAATAAAAGGTGTCTGTATTTTATCTTTCGAGATAAGCGAGGAGAGGAATCATGTGTGCGGAATTTTGCGAAGACAGAAGGGGTTAGCCTTTAAAAGAGTAATGACGTACTGCATGCGTGCGAAAAAGTTATTACACCCATATTGGCGAAAAATTTAGTGGATAAAATTCGAAAGCCCGCAGGTTCAATTTTACATTAAAAGTTGGAAGTTAGCTTAATTTGTAGCAAGGCCATTCTTTTACGAGTGATAAAAATTTATGCAACGGAACATTTTCGAATTGGAGACACGCGCTCTTCACGTAGAAACGGAATTGAAACTGCATTTTCAACAACTGCATTTTCAACAACTCGAAGAGATGGTCAATTGTAACCTGAAAGTCAGTTACTGAAAATTGTTTTTAATTTTTTGCATTGTATAAATTAGTTGGAGGTTATTTTTTAGGAATGTGCATATTTAATATTGTATTTTATTGATTAATAAGAATCAGATCCAAGCAAAGGATTTTGGTTATTTTTTTTCAGTGATTGGAATTTTATTTGCATTTAATTTCAGTATTAAGGTATTACAATTCCTGTGGTTGGATTGCAACTTTGTTTAGCATAGAGAGTGAGTTGTATATTTTGAACCGGAGAATGTACCAGTAATTTGTTAAGTGGTAAGCATAAAATCTGTAGATAAGAATCAAATGTATAAAGACACGTAATCACGCAATAGTTGTATTTTTTATATATTTCTGCTTATGAATCAAAGCAATATTTTGTATACAGGAACGTGTAAAGAAAAGTGGAACCCAATCGCTTTTTTGTTTATTAATATATTCTGTCAAGTAATATGCGTATTTATTAGAGTTCCATCGAACCAGAATATTAGACTTTCAATTTCATAATAGCAGTAGATGAGAGGTCAAACTTCCACAAGGTAAGGGATATACAGTGTGTCCCAAATCGGGTGGGATTGCATGGGTAACTTTGTTATTGTTAAAGATAGAGAATTGGTTAAATGGGCAATGTTTTGCAGTTTTGGATGCTTATTTAAAATTTCCTTATGGAAATTCAAAATGTCGCATAGGTTAGACGTAATTTCAAAAAAACTAAAATTGGTCATTTCCTTGAATGTCTTATATCATCGAAAGTATAAGAGATATGAAAAAAAGTTTTATATAAAAGTGTCTGTCTTTGATATGCTTAATTTAGAATTGATGTCAAAAAAAAATTCAAGATGGCCACTTTTGAGGAACATTTACCAACTTCCTAAAGTTAAATGGGCGCCATATTGGATTTTTAGATTACTTGATAGATTTTTAAATTCTCTTTTCAACGAGCTATTATAACATAAGATTGAAAATAAGATATCAGTTATATTAACGGTTTTTGTATTTTAATCACGTAGTCTGTGACGAATAAAAAAAACAAAACAAAATCTGTTCGGGGCAACAAAACAATGTCTAACTGTCAAGATTATATTAGTCCTGCTTATGAAAAGATTAAAATGTTCATTTTTTTTACTATTCACCCTGATTTTGATTTAAAAAAGTGACGTAATGCATCCGCTACATCAAATATAATCTAGTAGATTTTTGACTTTTTATTTCTGTGCATAAGCACTAACCCGATTTACGTTTTCGGAAATCTACCACAACCTGAATGGGCTCGAGGTAGTACGAGCTTCATTATTTTGGTAAATTTCCATTCCACGAGAGGAGCATTGTACCAAGGGGTCCACAAAGTTCAACTGTATTACCCCGAAAGCGCGATCCTGTCTCCAATTTTCCAAGCATTTTAGTTAAGCTGAAAAATTAAGAATTGATACGTGATTACGAGAGAGAGTGTGTAATTTTTGTATGAACCAGATCAAAGATAATGTAAAGGAGTTTGGAAGTGGAACCGCTATAGTTTTTCAATATATTCAATCGATTCAATTTACGTGCATATTTATTCGAGTGCAATCAAGCCAGTATAGTCACGCATGTCACGATGTATAGAATTAGCTTAATAAACATTACAATTTAGAATCTCCTAAGCTTAAGATTTCTAATTCATTCCAAAATCTCACCCTGTTTTCATCTGGATTAACACCTACAGTTAAATTTTCTCCAATATCTAGATAATGAAGATTACATTTATCAATGGGTTTCCAATGGACGTCGATTAGCGATGTACATTCTGTTGGATTTGGATTTCCTGTTCTGGCAAAGTTTGTCCACAATTTAGTAAAGCGTTCGATACCGTTCATTTCAAGACTGTTAGGTAGAGGAGGAGGTATTCTTGAACGTTTAAATAAATAACCTAATTCATCTCCATGGCTAACACCTGTGGAATGGCATCGCGTTAGTATTTACCCAACTTTTCGTTAAGGGCTACCTGGTAATTTTATATTAATTGACCTCTTAAATAAGTTAATGCTGGTATCGATGGACATTCTATAAAAATATGTAGGGTTTGTTGAGGACTTCGCATGATATCTTAAGTTTTTTTGTATGGGCCATATGAACATATTGTCTGTTTTTAACTAAAAAAGGGGAATATAATTTCTGGTAGGTACGTAGGTACTCCAAACATTACCAAGTAATATTGACTTTTAATTTCGTCGGCCCATTCTTTGTTCCCTAAATAGAAAAATTTTATTTTCTCCGCCATACGTTTCGATAACGACGTGCCTTTAATAACATTTAGAGTTCTTGGTATTTCCATTTCGAAATCAGTTATTATATCAAGTCCTTTATTGGGAACGTTCGCGTTTCTGTTCATAAAGTGTATAAGTAAGCATTCTCTGGAGGTATACCCTATCATAAGGGATACATCATTATAGGTACCGGATCGTAATATAGTCAAAGGTTCTTCTAGTATAAATGAAGATTTAGATGTGTAACTTTCTACTACCGGCCCAAAGGGTCGTTGTGAGTATGCCGTGCAAATCTGCAAATAACATTCAAGAAAATAGCTTAACGCTGAAATTGTTCAATTATGATAACAGTCTTATACTTACATCTGGAATTTTGGATTGTAATTCCATTATTTCCTCAATCGGCATCTTCTGTAGAAGTTTAAGAAAAGTTTCCTCACTGGCCTTTATGTTAAAAGCGATTTCTAAATATTCCACAGATCTTTTTCCGTCTGACCAACTTCCAAGAGCGGTTCCACTTTGCATAATGGCTTTATGAAATAAGCCTGTGATATGATGGGTAGGTATGTACATTTGTATTACCAGTACTTATAAACAAGCTATACCTTTTGCGAGAGACGACAGTACTAAAAGATGTACGCTTATACCTCCGGAACTGTTTCCAAAAATTGTAACGTTATTGGGATCTCCACCGAAGCACCTAATGTTCTCTTGAATCCACCTTAATGCCATAACTTGGTCTTTGAAACCAGCATTTCCCGGTACGTCTAGTGCAGGATTGTCGAAATTGAGGAACCCTAAATTTAAACTGCAACGTTGTGCGACGATTAAAATTTCATTTACCTACCTAGTATTCCAAGTCTGTAATTTATAGTTACAAGTACAACATTTTCCTTTAGTAAATAGTCTGGTCCATACCAGTCGGAGTTTCCAGAACCCGATAAAAACCCACCACCGTGAATCCAACACATCACGGGAAGGAGACTATTACTCCGGTTTCCTAACTAAAGTTATAGTGTTCGGATGATATACAACAAAGACAAATAAACTATAGGTACATTTGGAGTGTAAACATTAACAAACAGGCAATCCTCTGATCCATCTACATTATCGTGCCCCTGTAGTTTAAAGGGTCTGGAGGAAGTGGAGCCTATAATAATGGTACAATATGCAATTATGATGCAGTCATTTTCAAACCTCCACAACCTCCACTCGAATTCTAGAATTAGAATTAAGTCGAGGTTGTCGGTATGATAAAATGTGAGAAATCTGTTACTTATACCTTAAATCTCAGATTACCAAGAGGTGGTTTTGCGTAAGGGATGCCACGAAAACTATAATACGCATTCCCTTTGTAATCCGTTTCAATTTTTCCTTTAAGCGTGCCGCACTTTGTGGTAATATATACGTCGTCCATATTATCTGTTGATAAAGTAGCACTGACTTCTCACTTTATAAGTGTATGTGCACTGAACGTATATCACAGTAGTTTTCAGGTCACTGTTATCTATTTATATTTATCGTTTTTTTAATTGCAATAATGTGGTGCAGGCAGTGCTATCTTAATGTTTCTTTCGTCGATCAGAAAAGCAATCTCTTTCCAAATGCCATGAATCTCTAATGATGCTAGGTAACTTATCATCAAATAGTTGGAAAGTTTTGGAATGCACATGACATCTGTCATTCTTATTAAAAATGGGACGCGGATCTCGGCATAAAATGAAGTTGAGAATAGATATCAATACTGTTTCCATAGAAACGATGGAAAAACCCAAGTTTGCTATTTTTGATGTCTTAAATTCAGATTGTTCGGAAGTTTTATAAGATTTATATGGTTTTTGCTATAAAATAAAGTTTTATATTATACACCACGATAAAGGCAAACTAAGCAAACCATCTCGTGAAAGTTAATTCACTCGATGTGCAAAACATCCCTTAATGTATTTTCTACTACTACCTTAGAATTGCGTCATACGTGCTTTATTTTTAACAACAGAATGTCGCCTATTCTATAATTCTGGAGTGGAATAATTTCATTCAAACTCTTGTGATGGAATGACCACATGTAGCGACATCTATTATAGAACATTCTAAATGACAAACTGTCAAAATTTTAATTACGACCGTTTTCGTGCATTTTGAGCATACGCACAAAATTACACAATTAATTGAGCACGGTAAACTCACGCGAAGTAGAGGTGAAAGAACTTTAGAACGTGACACTAGAGTGGAGCGAGATGTGTAAGTATTTATCTTAAATATAGACATTTAATTAAAGGTTCTAGAAGCTACAATGGGGGTTTACAGTATAGTTGAATTCCGCAGTTCTAATTTACTAAGCGTGTACCTGAAACCCTAAAACATTTTTTTGGACAGTAAAAGTTTATTTAAAAATAGAGGCTGATTAGCAAAAAAATAATGAACATGTGCGGTTTTAAAGGTTTATTCAAAACGATATGATTGTGGCGGCCTCTGTGACGTAATAAGCCCGACCAATCAGCTCCTAGAACCATTCAGATGACATAACGACTTTTGCAGGAGAATGGCGTCGTGATCGTTGCGGGCGTTAAGTGGAACGTACCCATAATATAAGGATTGCTCGATCACTGAATTTTTTCGCCGCGTGTAGTGACGTCACTGGCGGACCCAGACGCACTGCATGCTTTGATTTTTAGATTTGTGCATCACTGTCATTTGTATTTTATATTATAATAATAATAATAATAATAATAATAATAACCCCTGTGGGTTCGGGGATAGAATAGGCCCACTCTCGCCCTAGAGATCGTAAAAGGCGATCAATGGGCACTAAAGGTGACCAGTCCAACCACCTTTAGTACTTACCTACCCACTTTACTTTCCAACTCCCACGTCCATGTTCCCTACTTTCCTACATTATACACAACACGCAGGTGGATATTTGCTTACGCGAATATCTTGAAGAGTGACGCCTTCACGTGTTCCTAGTCACCCCATATTCTTATGAATGTGGAGTTTAAACAAAGCCTCGGAAAAATGCCGCTACCTGAGGAGCGTCAGGGCACGTCTGGAGCTATCGCTGGGCGTTGCAGCATGCGAGCCGATAGTGACGAGTTGGTGAACAGGCGGCCGCTCGTCGGGATACCCGAAACCTCTACAGCCGAAAGAAGACTACGAAGAGGACA